CTATATTTTCTTTTTTTGCTGTAATTGTTCCAGTGAATCGACGAGTAAAAGTCGAATTCAAACTGTACGAGAGTGTTTTCTACACTCGGGTTTCTCCGGTTTCCCCCTCTCCTACGGTTGTGCCTAAATAATACCGGTCAGAAGGATAGCCGAGAGGTACTGGAGATGACTTTCCGATTCGGTAAATCCAATATGGCGTCATAGTCTACTTAGTCCTGACTTGTTTGTCGACTTGTTCACAGAAGAAGGGGACTAGTGTGAAGAAAAGTAAGTCTGTGCAATATGCTAGTTTGAAAACCCATTCCATGACCACTTAGAGGTTCGTTTGGAAAGCATTCTTGAATAGAATTGTATCGGATGAGATCGTATAGATTTGTGCATGAACTTTGTCCCTCTGACCGGTATTATGTTGGAAGGTAATACCGCTCAGAGGGTCACACTAGATAAGTAAGGAAAATGACCTCCATTTAGTTTCACTTGGTTATTTATGACATACCTTAAGGCTTTTCTGCATAGGTTTTCTCCAGATCTAAACAATGTTGGACTTAAAATGTACTTATTGTTTCAGTGTTCTGTTGTCTTGTCCCTCTAACCGGTATTACATCGGAAGGTAATACCGCTCGGAGGGTCACGCTGGATATATAAGGAATGAGACCTCCATTTAGTCTCTCGTGGCTTTTTATGACATACCGGTAGGTCAAGGCTTTTCTGTGTAGGTTTCCCCTAGACCTGATCATGATCGGTCAATTAAGCTTATTGTTTTTGTTCTGTTGTCTTGTCCCAATAACCGGTATTACGTCGGAAGGTAATACCGCTCAGAGGGTCACACTGGATATATAAGGAATGTGACCTCCATTTAGTCTCTCGTGGCTTTTTATGACATATCGGTAGTTCAAGGCCTTTCTGTGTAGGTTTCCCCTAGTGCACAACCATTCATATGGAAATGAATTTTATTTGCATCAGAACAAGTCATTTTCATATCACTGGTTAATTGTGCACTTGGCCTCGTTATGAAACTGAAATGATTTTTTGGAATAAATCACAAGTGGCCTATTGAATGTTGGATTCTTGCTCTCTCCTTACTTTTGTTTATTTTACACACCTGCAGCACTCCTCTGGAAATTACTTCTTTTACTTTTTGGTCTTTGACAATTCCCCCACCCTCAGGAATTCCCAGTAGTTCCAGTAAAGAGTGTAGGGGGAGTATGGAGATTTTCTGAAAGTGACATTTATGTCATAAGCTACTTCGGGAGCACTTATTCAATCGGTTCCTGGATACTTGTACTTGGGAGTGGAAAACTACAAAAATAATATGAATCATGCTGTAGAATAAAAACACATGCCAGTGTTTAATCCCTGCAAGCATTAAAAGTGGTGGATCTAGGGAAGAGGTAAAGGGTCTGGGGGAAACTAGAGGGTGAATTTTTGAGGGGGGCCCCTGCTTAGAAAGTAGTGTAGTGTGGATCCAGCAATGGTAGTTAGTTAGGGTGGGACTTATAACAATAACATAAACAATGTGTCATTAACAGGACGGTGTGAATGCAGGTAACCTAGCCTGCAATCAGGCATAGTTTCTTTTGTTTCTGCCACCCTCCTCCACGAAAAAAGAATTCCTAGTTGCATGTTGGAATCCAGGCTACTAAGTTGATGTATAAACAAGACAACAATAATCAGAAGTAATTACTGAATCTTTTTTCAATTTTCCTGTATCAAAAAAATATATCCATTTTTCAGCATAAAGTACATTTCTTTTTAGTTTTATGTCCTGAGTTAACAAAAACCTAAAAAGAAAAGCCTGAAATTATGTCATGAAAATCCAAGAAAGACTAAATGATAGTCATTCCTTATTTATCCAGTGTGACCCTCTGAGCGGTATTACCTTCCTACATAATACCGGTCTGAGGGACAACACAACAGAGCAAAAACAATAAGCTTCATTGACCGATCATGTCCAGGTCTTGGGGAAACCTACACAGAAAAGCCTTGACCTACCGGTATGTCATAAAAAGCCACGAGAGACTAAATGGAGGTCTCATTCCTTATATATCCAGCGTGACTACATGGAGGTATCATTCATTATATATCGGTCACATTACTGTTGGTTCTGAGTGCATTGCACCTCGTGACTCTGTTCGTAATTTAGGGGTTCAGTTTGATAGCATATTTAGTTTTGAGGAGCACATTAAGAACATTTGTAAATCATCATTCTATCATTTGAGAAATATTGCTAAAATCCGCAAGTACTTAAGCCAAGATACATGTAAAATCTTAGTCCATGCATTTATTAGTTCGAAACTTGATCACTGTAATTCCTTATTACATGGCCTTCCTAAGTATCTGTTAACTAGACTACAGGCAGTTCAGAATGCTGCAGCTCGTGTTGTCACATTGACACCGAGGCATGTTCATATAACTCCTATTTTAATTAATCTTCATTGGTTACCAGTTGAGTTTAGAATAACTTTTAAAGTCCTTTTATTGGTATACAAGGCCCTTCATGGCCTTGCACCTTCTTATATTTCTGACCTTTTGAATTTTAAAACATACTCTAGGTCATTGCGTTCTTCATGTAAAGAATATTTAGTGGTTCCAAGAAGCAGATTGAAAACATATGGAGACAGAGCTTTCTCTATTGCAGGACCTAACTTGTGGAACGATTTACCTCTAGAGATTAGGAAATGTGCTTCAGTGGCAACTTTTAAGCAATCCCTTAAAACTTTTTTATTTAAGTTAGCATATAGGTTATGAGATTCCTTTTGTTTTGAGATGTTTTTGATTTATATAGTAGATAACTTAGGCTATATTTGAATTATATTGTATATTGTAGATATTTTATATTTTAGATTTTTTATATTCTATTTTGTAATTAGGTAGCGCTTTGGACAATTATTGGATTTTAGCGCTATATAAATAAAATTATTATTATTTATTATTTATTATATCCAGCGTGACCCTCCGAGCGGTATTACCTTCCGACGTAATACCGGTTAGAGGGACAAGACAACAGAACACTGAAACAATAAGTACATTTTGAGTCCAACATTGTTTAGATCTGGAGAAAACCTATGCAGAAAAGCCTTAAGGTATGTCATAAATAACCAAGTGAAACTAAATGGAGGTCATTTTCCTTACTTATCTAGTGTGACCCTCTGAGCGGTATTACCTTCCGACATAATACCGGTCAGAGGGACAGAGTTCATGCACAAATCTATACGATCTCATCCGATACAATTCTATTCAAGAATGCTTTCCAAACGAACCTCTAAGTGGTCATGAAATGGGATTTCACACTGGCATATTGCAAAGTCTTACTTTTCTTCGCACTAATCCTCTTCTTCTCCAATACGAGCTTGTGACTGAAGTCGACAAACAGGTCAGGACTAAGACGCCAGGCAGCCGAATCGGAAAGTGGTCTCCAGTACCTCTCGGCTGTCCTTCTGACCGGTATTATTTAGGCACAACCCTCTCCTAAACAAACAACACTTTTCTAATTTGACCCTCAACGTAAGGACAAACTCTTAGGTGTTTTGCGGGTAAGCAAACAAACCATTAAATTTTATATTGTTAGCCCAAACGTAAACTCCTTATTAAATATCCTCGGCATGTTTTCCAGTTCAGTTATACTAGAGACCTTTCCTAAGACGAGAACGACTACGAGTACAAGACTTTTCTCAATGAACCAGCGTCATTTTCGCCGGAAAACGTGATTGCCGTCGTCATTCTACTTCGTGTTTTAGTGAGAATGTTGAAGTGGCGGGAACAAGTTATCAAATGCAAGACGTTTTATCATTCTGCTATCGGGAGAGGGCTTAACATCCTTCAGTATAAATAACCCTACCAACTTTTTTGGTGAAAAAAAGTAAATTGAAGTTTTCCGGGGTGTCTTTTTTTAGAACACGCACAAAAACTTTAAGTTAAATCCCCTCGTACTCGTACCCGTTCTCGTCCTCAAATCTAAAGCCCTCTATTCTTACAGACGACGACAATGTCATCTACGTAGCTGACTTGGTGAGACGGGTCTCTCCATTGCCACCAGACCATTCCAGAATAGAGGTGGGGATCAGATTTGCTGTGGTGTGGACCAGACTGGTAAGATCAAAAGTCACGGACATGTCTAGTTCCCTGTCACAGTTGCCTGCGTGCAGACGTCTCCTATTTCCTTTGTTGCACGCGGAAAAGGAAAAGTCGTCCCTTTTCCGCGTGCAACAAAGGAAATAGGAGACGTCTGCACGCAGGCAACTGTCACAGAGGCAAAAGCTCAGAATTTTGCTCCGCAATGTAAAGATCATAGTAGAATTTATAATGTTTCAAGCTTAACAATACCCTTTCATATTATCATATCCTCTCTTACGCTGCATGTAGACTGAAAGTAGTTTTCAGAATGGTTTTGGACACTATACACGTTTTCTCAAAGATACAAATGTCTTCCCTAGTTTCTCAGAACTGGAAGGAAGAAATGAACGGATTTATCTTACGAGCTCGGGGTTAAATATTTGTTCCGGCTTCCTGTCTCTTTTATTCAAAAGCATTTCCGTTGTAAATTTTTACTACAGCAGTCATTTATCACATTCACGCAAAAAGAGTCTACAACTATAATTTGCTTTTCAACAGCCCTTCTCAGTTTATTATATTTGTACTATTTATTGCGCATCTTCGGTGTACCGTGGCCAAGCGTACAAAATAAGATACTTTTGTGTTACTTATGATTATTTTCCCGGCTCGCCTGCCCGTTCGTTTGAGACGAAGAATAAAATCAACCCCTTAATAGGCCTATAACGTCGCTATAAAATAAACATCGACCGGTCGAGTTATGCCAATACATTTAAGAGGTAATTATACTGCTCCTTAAGTGAATTGACTGAGGTAACGCGAGTAGTTTTCTTATTATTTTTTTCAGTTTGAAATATTTTAGTGACTTAACTGCGTGACAAGCAAAGATGCTGGTGCGTGAAGCCGGAATTAACTCTAAGTACAGTTCACGTCATATGGCTTGATATTCT